ATCTTCCCCCACAAGCGCTTAGACCCCGCGTACGGACCTCCTCCCCTCCAAAAAAACATGCAAATTTCTTTGGCGGGAAGCGATTTCACAAACCAGGTAGGACAAAAAGCTGAAATTTGCGAGCTAAAGATTTCAAATTCAGCTGCCGCGCACGCTTGTGCGACGCGTACGACCACGTCAAAGCTTGCGATTTGGCATTATGCTAACTCGAAACTTGCCGGAAAACAGTGGCTGAAATCTTGTCAAGATGTTTGTCTCCCTCACAGGAAATAGTATACCTAAAATAAGTACCGATTTGCACTTACGCTACGACTTAGGGCACTTCAAAGATATTTGCAGCGAAGTGGATATTTCACTTGCCGGATAAGTTGCGAGGCTAAAAATTCGCTGGGATATTCTATTTTCAAGTGTGGTCTCAATTCTGCTTAGAGGTCGAATTCTCTCCAGGTAGGCACGAGAAATACTCAAGTTTAGTGAAAAATCAGAAACGAGTGCGTTTTGCAGCGAACGACTGCTCTCATCCAAATATGCAAATAAACATTAGTTCATTTCCACATTTGGATTTTTATGCGTTTTGCTTATATGCAAATTGGAAAATCGCATATTGCGACCACCCTGTCTGTGTGTATGTGTGTGTTCGTCCGTCCGGATATTTCAACTCGGCACCCAAGCAAGCTCCAGCGCCAAAATTTTGTTCGTGGGTTCCCCGGCCAAGTAACACCCCAGAACCGTGGTATCAGTCCTCACGCAAGCCTGGGTCCCGCGTATGAGGGGGTGGAGGTTTTGGCGGGAAAACTGATATCTCGGGAATAAGATAGAAAGCTGAAATTCTGAGATTATGTTCCCCGTCCACATATAACTCAAAGATTCCAAACACAGCCCCGTGAAATTTTCTGGTGCGCGTGTTTCCCGCGTACAGCCCTGTGAAATTTTCTGGCGGGAAAATGTCTAACTCGGGAACTAGCAAAGCTGGGAGGCTGAAATTTTCACGGAATGTTCTCATCTCACGTATGACTTGAAGTTATAAAATTTAGTGCCCAGGCATGCGCGGTTCTCGTGTACGGACACCTAAATTTTGGCGGGAAAATTACTTACTGAACAGCTGAGCCATTTTCAAATAAAAACGATCGCTAAATGGAAATTGTTTATTCCCTTTTAGGCAAAATTTACGATGATTTACGGTATTGAGCGCACAAGGTAGGTGTGAAGAAACAACCGTTCATGCAGTTAACCTAATCACTTCAGGCAAGCTTGGTGCGTTCCAGTCTGGATTCTTTATGCAGTATATACGATGATTTAGGCTAGTGATCACAAACGG